ACCAGTAGTGAAGAGATAATGTTCACAACACTCTTAACTGTTTAGAACTGGAAAAGCACATTTCAAAGAACCCTTCATTTTATAGGTGAGGAAACTAAGACCCACTAGCTAGAGGCAGATAATACTACATTATTCTTTTCCACCCTCTTAGGTTTCTTTCCTCCCCTCCTTCTTCCCTTCCTCCCTCCCTCCCTCCCTTCCTTCCTTCCTTCCTTCCTTCCTTCCTTCCTTCCTTCCTTCCATCCTTCCTTCTTTCCTTCCTTCCTTCCTTCTCATCTTCATTTGTGCTGTAGATTCAGAAAGAATTGTCTGGAGAAAATTAAGTACCTGGAGGCCACCCTACTCTTCTGTAATGGGTTCTACCCTTGTCTGTAACAAGTATTAATTGAATGGATGGTTTCAATTGGAATTTAATAAGGCTTGCTTCTTAATTTAGATTATATCTGACAAACCAATCTCTTCCTGGATTAGGTTTGAAATTATTCCTAATACAGTTAAATTATACCAAGAGAGATCAGTTTCATCTTCCCTGATAGGATAAGAAGGAGACTATCAACACATCTGAAATTCATAGGCAGAGACTCTGCAAGTTTTGCTTTCTCTTCCCTTGGAGAATTTACACACACCTGCAAAGTTCTTCAACTTGGGTGGGTAATAGAAGTGGTAGAATAACTAACGAGGGCACTTTCCTGTCTGTGATGAAGATTGGGAAGTTGGCAAAGGTAAGAAGCTTGGTTGGGACTTGAACAAATAGCACTTGTTTCTCTTCAACATTCCCTCTAGTATGTTGTAGACAATAGCCCTCCCTTAGAAGGCTGGGTCCTCTGGTGCTAAAGTTTATATGGACCATGTAGGAAGATAATGTATTGAGAAAACAGTGGCATGCTGGGAAAGTCTTTCTTTGGATCAAACCATTTGCAGTTGCCATCCCAGGTCTGCCCCTTGTAAGTTGCATGACCCCAGGCAGGCTACTCAGTTCTTGTAAATTTAACATTCTTTACCGTAAAATCAGGAAATGGATGCTCTACAAGATTGTGGCAGGGCTTTGAAATAAATATATAAAACATCTAGAAAGAGACTGACATGGGGAAGAGGATCTGTTTTGTCTTCTACTGTATTCCTCATGCCTGATACATGATAGGGGATTTGTTGAATAATATAGTAAGTGCTCAACTATTTGTGGTCATGATGATCATCATTGTTACTATTTGTCCAAAGTCTTAATGTGCTTTTGTTCCCAGTCCTTAAAAATGTGTAATATACATATATAATGATATATGTTATATAACATATAATATCATGTTATACAAAGAATACACAAACCAAGAGTTTGAGATAAGTGCCATAATGTTGTTACCAAAATTTTATAACTTGATTAAACAACCTGGCATAGCCAATATATATATTTTTTAAAGTTTATTGATATAAATGATCTCTACATCCAACCACAGGGCTCCAACTCACAACCCTGAAATCAAGAGTCTCATGTTCTTCTGACTGAACCAGCCAGGTACTCCTAGCCAATGTTTTTTTTTTGGGGGGGGGAAGGAATTTCAGTGTCCCTTACACCTAACCTAACAGTTTAGCTGTGGGCTAAATAGGAGAGGAAAAAGGATCTGATAATGTATAATAAAACAGACCTAAGACAAGCTTGGAGCAGGAGCATAGTTCATGGGAATGGATCTTTTCATTGGTCGGTAGAGTAGATCCCACTAAATCATTGATCAGTGACTACGTACAACAAATGAGCTGTCCTCTCTTGCAGATATGACGAGAACCTATGGCATTAGAGGAGGGGAATTTCATATCTGAAAACGTGGTGTGTTCATCTTCAGCCTTCCGATATAAAGAGAGGGTGCAAAAGTAGACTTTCATGCTTTGTACTACCAAAACTTCAGGAAAGCGATAACTGATGAGGCTCAAGACGAATAATTTCATTAGCATTGAGCATGGTGGGAAGTACTTGTTATAGTTATGAAGGGGATCGGACAGAAAGGCAGACAACTTGAGTCCTTTGGCTTTGCCACCCTGTTTCCTCAGCTTTTCATGAAGGTTTTACTGAAAGCCTTTGAGCTTTTTCTTAATACTTGATCTATTCAGCAAATAGTTACTGAACTCCGCCCTTGCATGAGATTGGCTTCAGAGACACCGTTGTTATAATGCAATGATCGGGCAACGTGGGTCCCATCATCAGAACCCTCCTCTATGTATTCCTTATGCACTATGAGGCCCCTGTGCATTACTTAACCTTTCTAAGCCTTGGTTTCCTTATCTAGAAAATAAGGGGGGAGGTTCTAGCTCATCACAAATATTGTGTGTGGTTTTTTTTTTTTTTTTACAAATATTGTTATAAATATTATGTAATATAAACCACATATCGCAGAGTGTAGTCTTTTGAAGAAAGCATTCAATATATGATCTAACAGTTATAAACACCGTTGCTTTTCCAAAAAAGGTTCTGGAATGACTGCTAACGGCAACTGGTGTAATAAAGTAAATGATCTCCCAAGGAGGAGTTGCCAATCGTGTCCTGGAATAAAGAGTCATTTTAATTTGTAGGCTTTCCAACTCTCATCATGTCTGCCCACCTGCCACCTCTACCCTCAATTGGGAAATTGCTTCTTGCCTCACCCAAAGGCTTATCAGAGTTTAAGAAAGCCTCTTTATGCAAATATTCCAGCTGAAGTGGACATCTAGAACTTCTAATTCAGTGAGGCTGTTTATGGAGGGTGACTGAGGGTTCCCTTGAAAAAGGAGAAATACATGGGGTGTCTGGGTGGCTCAGTTGGTTAAGCCTCTGACTCTTGATTTCAACTCAGGTCTTGATCTCAGGGTTGTGAGTTCAAGCCCGGAGTTGAGCTCCAGGCTAGGCATGGATCCCACTAAAAAAAGAAAGGGGGGTGGGGTGGGGTGGGGGGTGGAATACAACCCTCTAGTTCTTAGGAAGTATGTAGATTTTATACTTTAGTTCATGTATAATTTCATGGATGTGGCTTGTATGGATAATAAAACTACCTATTTCCAAATTCCACACAATAAAACCTCTTCCAGAACATACCCATTCTTTCAGCAAATCCTATTGGTGTTTCCTGCTAAATGTATTCAAATTCCAACCACCTGTTGCCTTTCCACTATGTTCGAGGCTGGCTTTGGTCCTTCCCCATACCCTCTTCCACGTTGCAGCCTGCTTCCTAGTCCTCTGTCCTGTAGAGCCTGGCTGTTCTCCTTCCTCTCCTTCCTTAACTCACTCCCCTTTATCCTATGTCAAGATTACCAGATACACTTTTTTTGTTTGTTTGTTTCTAGCTCATTCGACATTTTTTTGTCCTGTTATTTTATGACCTGCTATACAATATCCTCTCATGTGAGTGCACCCTTACATGCCCTGTATTATTTCTACTCTTGATTCTGACATTTCTTACAAAGAAATGTGTCTTTTAAGAGCACATTCCTTATTAACAACCCTCCTATTATAATGTAGTTGGACAAATTCCACAAAAATGTCTCATCTACATTCTGGTAATAAAGAGAGTCCGTTTGACCTCTTAGAGAATTTTTAATAGAAGAACTTGAACACGTATGCACATACTCCAGTGGAGATCCTTCTGATGGTCACAAACACCTTTTGTTCAAGTGCTTCTTACACCCTCTTCTTTAGGGCTGTTTTGTATATCAGCAACCTGAGTGCCTGGTCATTCAAGCACGGCTAGGATAGCGGCCTCTTAAAACATGAATCCATGTCTAGGCAATAGATTTGAAAGGAATAAATGATTGCTATTTTTCTTCCCAGGAAAAGAAGAAAATAGCTTTTTGTGGAAGCCCCAAATGTGCTTTTTCCCCAATGGATGGTGGTCATTTGGGGTTACCCCAAGCTCATTAAAACCCAGAGCTAGGCCTGTAAGTCTCTTGGCCTGTCTCTCAAGGAGAGAAAAAGGGACCAGGACAGATTCTTTCTTATCCAACTTCCTACCAGTTCACCCCGAAAAGCCCCAAACTGGTTTGATTCAGACTCAGCCAAGGGAACCTAGTCTGATTCCATGGCTCCCTTTCTGCCCTGTCATTCCCCCTCCTCCCTTCACACATCCCCTCCTCTTTGATTATATCTAAAATCTCTTTCACAAAGGATTTTAAAAATCGAAGCAAGCTAAGCACATATGTGCCTGACATATTTTTGTGTGAATGACTTTCAGTTAAAATGCAATCACTCAGTCACCAACCAGGTTTAAAGGGCTGATATAGATTTGGTTAGTACGTCATGAAGGGGAGACCAATAAAAAGAACATAAGGGCTTTGTGCAGTCATCCTGGTGGGCGAAAAGGGCCGATGAAGAACAGGCTGGAGACCCTTTGCAAACTTCTCAATTTTGCCTAAAGCAGGTCCTGTTTATCTTTAACGGAGTGGGGGGACAAATAAAAATGGGGCACCTGGTTTTTGTGTTTGGCAGCTGCATCCTCAGAAGCCCTGTCTCATATGATTTATGAAAATGTACTTTTCTTCTTTTAATGTGTGCTTGACTTCATACAAAGGAGCATTTTCCCCCCTGAAGATTCATTAATGAAGGTTACGCCACAGTCTTAAAAAAGAAACGCAGATGAAAATGTTTAATTATTTACGATTGAACATATAGAACATTTGCCTGGTTTGCACAGCTGAAGATATAATTAGAGGTTCCTAGAGAGAGAACGGGCTGAGAGTGTGCAGAAATTTCAAACATATTAGAAAGAAAATTTCCCCCAAATTGCTCACAAATGTGAGGGATTAGTCCATCTACCTGGGGCTCTCTGAAATTCCATGATTGAGTAGCTGAGAAAGGAAAGATTGCTTCCTTTCTCAATGCCATTTTGTTGGACGTTTTTAACGAAGTAGCAAATTTGTAGCTCAATAGGAAAAGCTCTCCGACAATGTATTAGAATTTATAATCCCAGCCCATGTATCTAGCTACTTCATTTTTTAGATTATTGCACTTTCCTCATTCGTAGAAGTATGACTAATGCAAATACCTTTGCAGACACCTGCATGCTGTTTTCCTGCATGTTCATAATGGCTTCGGAGATCTTGACATCTATTGGGTCCATGACAGACTCAATGTTGAATGGTCCTTCCAGTCGCTCTGCCACCAAGAGCATCGCATCTGTTAAAATACAGGAACATGATTTATATGAGAACAGAGGGTTCCGGGTGGTTAACCTGTGCTTAAACAGTTCCAACACAACTGGTTGAAAAATAACCATTCACTCAAAATTTTTATTTGATTTTATATAATCTGAAATGGGATGGACGACTAAATATCAAAGCAGTATTTTCTATTTTTATTTCACTTGAAGATTTAAACTTATTTTACATATATAAAAACAGGCGTAAACATGAGAAAATCAGTTCATATTAACATTGTTGAATGTCTCTATCCCACGTGAAATTAAACCAAAAGAACAAAATTAAGAACAAAACGATATTAGGTCAGGAATCAGCTACATTTCAAACATGGAGTCTAGGCTTTTCTTCGGGAGGATGAGGAAAATTGAGAAAGTTGGAGAAGTGCCAGCATGTGGATTTGGGTGCAAAAATGTTGAGACCCTATTCAAACCTATTTAAGATGCATGGAACATTTCTAGATTCTCCAAGAACAGACCTGTCCTTAGTTTGTGTCCTTCCGTCTTAGCCCTTTGGCATCCTTTGGAGGATAGAGATATGTCTCTTACTTGGTTTTGTATGTTCAAGGCTTATTATGGTGCCTATCACATTGTAAATGCTCAACAAATATTTGTGAAATGAAATTGTGCTGAACTGAACTTCTGCTTGCGAAGCTTTAATTTTCTGGAGAATATAGTCCTGGTGATATGTCGGCAGGAGGTCTGCCTGAGGAGATGATAGCCCAGAGTTCTGGGCCTTGCGCCATCAATAACTAGCAGAACGCCTGCGGGGAGAAAGCCTCTGAGCTTATCTTGCCTCAGACTGGTGGGGTGTAGAAAAGGCACTACTGATGAGGAGTTTCTCAGGGTCAATGGCGAGGGACACTTGCCCATTCTTGTGCCCCTGAAAACTGGCTCACTTCTGTCTTTAGTGTTCAGGGCACAGTTTGGTAACCTGCTTCCAGGTTGTTGAATAGAACTTTCTGTATGATGATAATGGGGCTTTTGAAACTTACCATGTGACTAGTGTGACTGAAGAATCAAACTGTTAATAAATTAGTTTGCTTTTAATTAATTTAAATGTAATTTAAAAAAATATTTTATTTATTTATTTGAGAGAGAGCCAGAGAGAGACCATGAGCAGAGGAGAGAGGCAGAGGCAGAAGCAGATTCCTCACTAACAGGGAACCCAATGCGGGACTCGATCCCAGGGCAGATCATGACCTGAGCAGAAGGCAGATGCTTAACTAACTAATTGAGCTATACAGGTGCCCTAATTTAAATATAATTTTAAATATTTAATTGAGACTAGTGGCTGCCATATTAGACACTGCAGCCTATACTTTTTTTTAATTAACATATAATGTATTATTTGCCCCAGGGGTACAGGTCTGTGAATCATCAGTCTTACACAATTCACAGCACTCACCATAGCACATACCCTCCCCAATGTCCATAACCCAGCCATCTATCCCTACTCCCCACCCCCCAGCAACCCTCAGTTTGTTTCATGAGATTAAGAGTCTCTTACGGTTTGTCTCCCTCCCAATCCGATCTTGTTTCATTTTTTCCCTCCCTACCCCCTACGACCTCCAGTCCTGCCTCTCAAATTCCTCATATCAGAAACAGCATATGATAATTTTCTTTCTCTGATTGACTTATTTCACTTAGCATGATACCTTCTAGTTCCATTCACGTCGTTGCAAATGGCAAGATTTCGTTTCTTTTGATGTAGCCTAGACTTTTAACATACAGATTCCAATCTTAGATTTCAAGTTTTTCAACCGCTAAAGCTCTTGGGAGCCAATCTTAAAACACTTTCCTTCTTTCAAAATAATACATGTTTATTATCAAACACTTACAAAATACAGAAAAAAACCCCAACAACAAAGGAGAGAAATACACCCATAATGCCACTTCCCAGAATAACACCTGGAATAGTTTGCTTTTTTTCTTCTGTGCATAAATATTTTAAGCATGCAACTGGAAATATACCATCCATATATCATATAATTTGCTTCCTAACTGTATTATTAATGTGAAATGTTTATAGTAGTTATTTTATAGTATTAGCACCAAGAAACCAAACTTTATTTTTATTACATATCCAGCTATGCATGCTCAGTCAAGGTCCAACATCAAAATCTTTTCAGGGTTACAAGTAGTTTCCAATTAGGCTGATTAGAAACCTTTTAAGAGGTGAATTCTTGTAAGAAGGATACCGTACTCTCTGGGAAGCAAAGATTATATTTCTGAAGAGCACTGGGTTTTGTGCACAGTATCAGCTTTAACACCACCCACTGGCCGTCTGCGCCCAATCCCAGAACCGAGTCTCCCTTCTACCCCTTGTAAAATGCTCCCGGAGTGAATGCACTCAGGGAGGTCCCTCTAGTCCACACGCATCCTGGGTACTCTGTCCCATAGCATTCTTACCATGGGAAAGATTTTGAGTGTGAACAGACTCACAAAGAACCCCTAACAGCAAATTTTCTGTTTTTTTTTTTTTTCCCCTTAGATAGTGCAGACTTCTCTGTGTACATCACAGCACGATCTTATAACAAAGTAACAATTTCTCTGCGGCTTACACACCCTGTTATCTGGCGGGGCGGACAGAGGATGCCCAATGCGAGGTTGTAGTATTTTGATCTTAGAGAGGTTTTTCCCTTGGAGGTTTTAAAAGGTGGCTAACTGTTGTCTGTGAGCCAATCTGTTTCTTTTATGTCTCCATATGTGTTTTGTATCTTTATTAAAAATAATCCCCTTTCCCATTAGACATTCCAACAGGTTTTTTGTTGACGATTAATTATGAAAAATGAGCAAGTTTCTCTAGATGGGTGCATTCTGCTAGGAGAATCAAGAAACCTCGTACAGGAAAAAGACTTGGCCTGATGGAGTTATTCAACAAATGCACTTAAAGAAACTGAAACCATGGGTCCTTTAAGTTGGTGTTTTACAGACGTATTTGCATAAATCATAAGACAAAGAGTATTGGTCTTATATTCGTCTGACATGAATGGGCTGACTTGAGACAGTGCTAAGGTTAGCTCTCTGGGAAGTCTGAGAGCCGCTGTGCTCCCCACAGTAAGGACAAGTGTAGTGGACTTACTACAGTGTCTCAATTTGAAATTATGGGGTCCTCTCATAAAGCAGGGAGGGAGGTTTTTCTCTTTGGTGATTTTAGTCTTTTTGTTCCTGGCTCCTTCCCCAACACAGTCCTGGACTCTTAGGTTTCTGGGTCTGCAAACGCATCTTACCTTTTTAGATTCTAATCATGGTGTTCAGGGCGAGCTTCTCCAGATCACTTGCCTATAGGGCCTTGGAAAAAGGCAATCTGATTGATGATCCTGCATATTAAACCTAACTAAATGATCAAATTTACTCAAATTGCTTGCTCCTAGATTTCCACTTTCTTCTTCTTCCTCCTCCTCCTCTTCCTCTTCTCCTTCTTCTTCTTTAAAAGATTATTTATTTTTTTACATGAGAGAAACAGAGATGGGCAAAGGGAGAAGGAGAAGCAGACTTTTCACTGAGTAGGAAGTCCAACAAGGGGCTTGATCGCAGGACCCTGGAATCAGAACCTGAGCCATAGGCAGATGCTTAATCTACTGAGACACTCAGGTACCCCACAGATTTCCATTCTTTATCTCAATTCATTTACTTTGTTATAAAACCTAATTTAAGATGACTCATTTTTGATGTAGGTAAGTATCTATTTTTCTTTTAATTTAGATCAGCAGTCAGAATATGCTACTTTAAGCTGTTACGTGGTTTAGGCAATTACTAATGATGTATGTACTAGTTTATATATATAGTGTATACTAGTTTATGTATTATATATTTATATTATATATATTCTTTATATTTAATATATTTATATTATATATTGTTTATATATAATATATATAAACGAAGTGATCATTTTTCAATATATATGTATCAAATCATTATGTTGTATACTTTATAAATATATATTATATAAATTAGTATATATATATATACACACACACTAATTATAAACATATATTTACTAAGTAAATTAAATTCTCTTTTGAAGACTCAAAAGTCAATGTAGAGGCTCAAAATCTCAGAATCATTAAGAGTAGTAATGTGCATATAGTTAACGATACTGTATTCTACACCTCAAAATTTGTTAAGAGGGTAGATTTTATGTGATGTGTTTTTTACCAAAATAATAATAATGCAAAAGAGCAGTAATGATTATCATACTCATCAACTACAGAAGTGGAGAAAAGACAACACTTCTACACTGTTGGTGGGGACATAAGCTGGTGCAGCCACTATGGAGAACAGTACGGAGTTTCCTCAAAAGATTAAAAATAGGCCTACCATATGATCCAGCAATCCCATTTCCGGGAAACCAAATCACCATCTTGAAATCTATCTGCAGTCCCATGTTCACTGCAGTTCCCACGACACGGGAATGATGGAACTGTCCATCAACAGATGCATGGATAAAGATGTGAAATATGCGTATCATTCAGTCTTAGAAAAGGAAGAAATTCTGCCATTTGCAACAACACGGATGGACCTTGAAGGCATTATGTTAAGTGAAATAAGTCAGAGAAAGACAAATACTGTATGGTCTCAGTTATACGTGGAATCTTAAAAAAAAAAAACAACCTGAACTCATAGATACGGATAATGGATTGGTGGTTGCCAGGAGCAGGGATTAGGAGGTAAGAGAAATGGGTGGAGGAGGTCAAAGGGTACAAACTTCAGTTAATAATTCCTGGGGATGTAATGTACAGCCTCGTGACTGTAGTTAACAATATTGTTTTACATATTGGAAGTTGCTAAGAGAGTAGATCTTAAAAGTTCTCATCACAAGAAAAAAAATGTGCAACTGTGTCGTAATGGATTTTAATTAGATTTATTATGATGATCATTTTTCAGTATATATCCATGTATCAAATCATTATGCTGTACACCTTGGACTAATACAATGTTACACATCAGTTATATCTCAATAAAAATGAAAACA